AGGCGGGGCCGGGCTGGTGCCCACTTGCATCCATGGGCAACCCGCCTTCCTCCTCCTGCTCCCGTCACTTTTCAAACACCCACTGGACTCTTTCTTATAGAAAGAGTAAATGCTGAGTACGGAAATCTGGAAATACCTAGAGAGATGGCCAGGGGCTGTCCCAGGCAGTTCTAGACCTGCGTCTGCAGTCCCTGCAGGGCTGCACTCTGCCTGGCCCAGTGGCACCCGAAGCCTGGCCTCCCGGCCCGAGCCAGGTCTGAGCCAGGCCTTAGCTGGGCCTGAGCCAGGCCTGAGACGGGCAGACTGCACAGTCGCTCGTTGTGCCGCTGCTTTTCTATGCCTCAGAAAAGGCCCCCATGAGGGGTGGCCATTGTGGAGGGTAGTGTGTCACCTGCACGGGGGGCTCCCCACGGGCCCTGGGCACTGCGCACCGCATCTCCTCCAGGTTTGCCCTCAGCAGCAGCTCCTGAGGGGGCAACAAGCAGCTCAGCCCCACAGGCCACCACCCTGTCCATGGGCCGAGGGGTTGAAGGCACAAACCGGCTCCCTCCTCCTCCCCACCCTCTCCAGGAAGGTTGGGGTCCCCTGTGGCTGCTCACCTCTGCCTTGCGGCGATTGTATCTCTTGGTCATCCCTAGCACCTGTGGTTCCTTGGGTGGCTCGTAGGTACTCCTGGGGACCTGGTGGGTGGTGGAAGGAAGAGCCCGTCAGCTGCAGTTGGAGGGTGTGCAGACAGGCAGGGTCCGTGGCACGAGGGTGAAAGGGGGCTGTGGTCCCTGAGCCAGGAGAGGCAGGGTGGAAGGGAAGCCTTGGAGCTATGGCTGGTACTTGTGGGGTGATGGCGGTCATCCTGGGGAGGGAACGACATCAGGCCAGCAGCAGGAAGGAAGGTGGCCAAACACAGGGCCCAGGCCAGCAGCAGGAAGGAAGGTGGCCAAACACAGGGCCTAGGCCAACGGACGCTGAGGGGACAGGCAGATGACTCCTGACTTGGCAGGGGGTGGACATGGAGCGGCTGGAGCAGCAGGTGAGGCCGGGAGAGTGTCTCAGGCCCCAGAGGAGTGAGCTGCCAGCGAAGGGGATGGGCTGCAACACTAACAGCAGAGAGTAGGGCAGCCTGGGACCAGCCACAGGGACCCTCGGTGCCCTGGAAAGCAGAGTCTAAGGCAGGGCAGGGCAGGGCAGGCCTGGAGACCCTGGGCTCCAGACCCCTAACCTGAAATCTCCACCTTCCTGAAAAACCTCCCCTCCCCCAGACTGCTGACCCT